GAGACAAGGTGCTGACATTTTACAGCCTCATCACCTAATCCTGTTCAGAGCAAGTGCAGACATGACAGAGCTAATGAGCTTCTGGGTGCAAACCGCTCCGTCCCCCACTACTGCTAGCGCAGGCACACAGCAGCGGGCAGCTCGGCCAACATCCAGCAGCAGCAGCACTCAGCACTGTCCTAATGAGGAGACTCCACACGAAAAATGGGCTGAGAAGATTGAGATCTGATCAATATATGTAAGAACCTGGGGGGAGAATGCAGAATCCTCCGATGGGGCCAAACTCTTCTCGGTGGTGGCCAGTGACAGGACAAGGGGTAATGGGTGCAAGTTGAAACACAGCAAGTTCCATCACCACGTGAAGAAGAACTTCTTTGCTGTGAGGGTGACAGAGCCCTGGAACAGGCTGCCCAGAGAGCTTGTGGAGGCTCCTTCCCTGGAGATCTTCCAAACCCGCCTGGATGCCACCCTGTGCCACGTGCTCCAGGTGTCCCTGCTGGGGCAGGGGGGTTGGACTAGAGGATCTCTAGAGGTCCCTTCCAACCTCAGCCATTCTGTGAGTCTGTGATTCCATGTCTTGTCCAGCTATTGGCTGTAAAGACAACACCCCACCTACATCTGCTGGGCTAGTTGTAAAACCACGACCACATGCTCTCACTGAAGGTGCCCTACAGTGAATGCTTGTCACTCAGTGTCATTATGGCTCTCTCACACACCCACCAATCCCTCATCATTAGCAGACAAAAAAAAAAAAAAACAAAAAAAAAGTTGAGTAAGGCTTCCAAGAGCTGGAGAGTTGCTCTGACAGATCCTGTAAGAAAGGTGCTCCATTCATTTCCATGCAATGCCCATGAGTAAAGCAATCCTGCTTTACTCATACCTCTGCGTTACCCAAGCGCTATGTGCACATGTAAAGCTACATGTACTCAGAGTGGATTTTGATGATATTTAGGGTATTTCCACAAATTCTAACACTTTACAGAGCATTGACTTTCACATCTTTAAGGCTCATACAGGTCTTTGCTGTTAACTAATGATATTTTACACTAATATTTTGTTAGTTAAATATACATATAAATAGGAAACCCTGCAAAGTTTCTTCACTTGGCTTCATTAATTCACACAATCTTTTGCAGCCCTTTTTTTTTCCCATGGTGTCACACAGCATTTTAAAGAAACAGTACACGTTTCCTCACAGGATATATAAGGTATACACTGCAAAGTGGGGCAAAGGAGCAGGAATTCTATATTACAAATAGTAAAGCTTTAAAAATATCAACAAAGCAGAACGTTCTAACATAACAAATGAAGAGCCCTACATTAAAAAAAGACTTCATTATTTCAGTATCTCTTTGTTTGCTTGTTTAACCATCCCCTGGGACAATCTGTACTGTTAAGAAACGTGTAGAAAACAGTCATCAGTTTTTGTTGTTGTTCAATTAGTGCTATACTCAGTGTTTGAGCTCATGCAAGTGTCCTTTGGGGAAACGTCCTGCGTGCCATTAGCACTATTCTTAATGAGGGAAAGCATGAAACTCCTTTAGTGCTCTGCCAGAATTGTTTTATCTTCAAGTCAAAAGAACAACTGTTTGGAGTAACCCCAAAAAAAGCATTTAACAATGACAAGCAGCAAACAATATTCCCAAGCGTTATACTCATAGCACTGTTCTATTTATGGACTAGCAGTTATTATACTGAATAAAATATGCATTAGGCAGCTTTATTATGCAGCCGTGATTCCTCAATTAAGGCCACTAAGACGGT